TTTTTGGCCGCCCCCCCCCCCCCCCCCCCCCCCTCTTTTTGTTTTTTGTTATTTTATGTAAATACAGAAAACACTATAGTACCAAACTCAATCAAGTACTACTACATTGACTAGAAAAGTTTTCTTTCTTTATTTACAATGATGGTGTCATGGTGGTTCAATGATTCCGCTGAATACTTGCTACATCCACCAACATGATAACTCTGTCCACCGATCAAGACTTACTCACTAAAGAAGTTAAATAAGAAGTAAACAACCACACCAAGCATAGCAAGTCCCCATTCATTACCTTGTGTTGAAGAAAACATCATTTGAAAACCCAAGAAGATCAAAATAATATACAACCATCCCCATCTTCTAAACTCATCTTCATGATCTCTCACCCTATAATAATTGTTGTAACCTTGTAAAGAAGGTGCATAAATAATTATCAAACATGGTAACACTACTAGTAAAAGTGGACCAAGAAGAATTTTTAAAACAGTGTAAGTTAGTAGTATAACAATAAGAGATGCCAAGATTGATTGAGTAGTATAATATACAAACACAATGGCTAAAAAAGGGATGAAAATATAGAAAGTGAAGTTTATTTCTTCAATATCAAGGGCTAATGGAACTCTTTCAATTATGTTTTGGCCATGGAGAAGTAATCCTAGGCTGAGTACAAGAAGAAGAGGAACAAACGGAGAAGGCCCTATAACCATATTTTCTACAAGAAAAATGGTGTCATGAGCTTAGTCTTTTTATTTTTTTTATTTTTGAGATGAAATCGATGAATGGAGTTGAGCGTATTCAAGAAATTGGTTTAAAATAATGTGGTTGTTAGTAGGGTGGTTATGAATGAAGCTATATGCTAAGGGTCGGGGGGTTATAAGCTTTAATTAGTTGTTTATAACTTGGTTATTGATCACCAACTTTACCTGTTTGGTATTTGCTACTTTCACATAGGTTAATGGACTATATAATGTACTTTATTTGTTGGGTTATGGACCCCGGCCCTTATTTTCTAAGAAAATATTTTCATGAAAAACATTTCCCTTCCTATACCAACGCACCCCAGGGGCGGCTGGTAAGGCGTAAAAAAAAGTCTTTTGCCTTAGGCCCCCAATTTTAGGGGGCCCCATTTTTAAGTTAATTAGGTAGGATTAAATTAAAATAAATAAATATTAGAACTAAGACAATAAATGCAAAGGCCCCATTTTTTAGATAATTAGGAAGGATTAAATTTTAAAAAAAAGTTGTCAGAACCAAGACAATAAATGCAAAACGGCTCAATGAAGTGATAGTATGATAAATATGATTATGACTTTTTGACTTTTCAATAAAAAGTTGTGTACTTTTATTTTTAAGGTACAAGTTATTTTTTTTTTTTTACCTTATTTTTTTCTAATTTTATTTTTATATATTCTATCATCCTCCCTTCTATTTCTTTCTCACTTTCTTTTTTCTAATCTTGTATCTCTTTCTTATTCAAAGCTTAAAAATTTACTCGTTCTATTGATAGTTTATATTTTGAATTTGGAGAAAACTATATTGCAGCAGCCCAATTCATTTTTGGAAATCAAGTCTTCATAGCTTTTGAATTCGGTAATATCATTCTAATTTCTAATATTATTTTTGTTTTGTGTCTTATGTTTATTATATTTTTTATTTGATATTGTAAATAGTGTTTTAAAATATTTGTTAGATTTTGATGTCGCTATAGATCAATTAAGAGGTTTAGTTTTTTTTTTAAAACATATAGAGAAGAAGGATTTACAAGTACTATGATTTCAACTAAAGAAATTGCATTAGAGATGAATATAGAACCTATATTTCGTAAGAAACGTGTAATTTATAGAAAAAAACAATTTGATGAGAATGTTGATAATGAAATCACAAGATCTCTTGAAGAAGCATTTAGAGTTGATTACTTCTTATACATAGTAGCCATCTTTTCACTTCAAAATAGATTTGAACAATTTGAAGTATATGAAAATATTTTGATTTTCTATTTAGTGGAAAAAAATTGAGATCATTAGATGATGAGAATTTGAAAAAATGTTGTCTTAAACTTGAATGTTCCTTAAAACATAATACTCACTCCGATATTGACGGTTTAGACTTATTTTCTGAATTAAAAGTGTTAAGGGAAATCATAAAAGTAGAAGACAATACTCTAATTGAGATACTCAATCAATAAAAGACTTGATTCTTTTCCAAATGCTTACATTGCTTATAGAATAATGTTAACAATTCCCGTAACAGTCACCTCAAGCCGAAAGAAAGTTTTTCAAATTAAAAATAATAAAATATTATTTAAGATCGATAATGTCTCAAGAAAGATTAAGTGGTTTTGGCTATATTATCGATTGAAAAAGAATTATTAGAAGAGATTGACTACACAAAAATTATTAACTTTGCATCTCAAAAAGCTATAAAAATAGATTTAAAATAAAAACATTTATAATTTTTTTTTTTAAGGCCTCTAGTTTGATTTTGGCCTTAGGCCACCAACGGGTTTGAGCTACCCCTGACACACCCCTGGAGTTATTACTTTTTCCTAAGGTCCCCCTTTCCAGAAGGATAAAGGGAAGAACAGATTAAGAGGAGGTTTCTAATCGTCATTATGCCATCTACATAGCCAGTGTGAATTGTCAAACTATAGCAGGAGGCTTGCATTAATTTTATTGTTTGGTCTGCATACCAAAAGTCCAAAACTAATAAGATTCCAGGACCATATACAGTGTCCTCTTTAGCAATCTTCTGTCTCTTATTCCTACAAGGTCTTCCCTGACTAGCAAGGTTTTCTCGGAAAACTTTATTTATTCGTGTTTAGTTGCATCATTGAGTTTGAAACCCTGAACGGACTGTCAATAATAAGCTGGAGGAAGGTGAGTATGACGTCTAAGTCATTCTTATTGCCTTTACACCATCTACATAAGGCCATAGCTTG